TATCTTTAATTAAACTTTAAAAGTAATTATCTAAAACTGGTTTTCGACCAGACAAAGCGTTCAGCAGATAGTTTTTAATTTTTATAATAAATTGAGTATACACTTTACCGTGTAAGTCTTAAAATTTGATTAGAGTTCCTTGAAAAAGATAAATCAATTCGAATTTTGTCAAATTAAGACGTTTAGTGTTTTGTCATATAAGTTTGAGGAATTATTTACTAATCAAGTGAGATTTTTTAAATCTTTGTTTTGTGGTTCCATTATTACTATAAGTAAGATACGGACCTTGTTTAAACAATTTCTTTACTTTGTGTACGTTATTATGGTTGTAAAAATTGTTCACAATTTGCGCCCAAAGATGTAAGACCTTCGGTTGCTCAACGGGACAATGTTGTGGTATTACAAATTACTGGTTGTGTTGATGTTTGCTGCTCTCATGGAACATTTGGTTTTACAGAAAAAGCTCAATGTAGTATAATTTTATACCATGATCAGTAAACGTTGCAAAGTAGTTGAAAATAAGCTCAATTGGTTTTTGCATCCGTCGATTACAATTGATTTTTGTTTAATTTCCAGATTTTTTAGGTAACATTTCAAATTTTAAGCATTTATTAAATTGGCCAGTATAAATAGGTTAGTGTGATAGGTTTATAACAAATTATAATATATATTATTATTTTTTTATCTAGAACATTGAAAACTAGTTGGAATTTCAATTTCAACAATTTTTTTCTACAAATAATAACTGCAGTAAAGTGTACAATTTATTTATATATATTAAATACAATATCAAAGTACATTTAGTATATTATTCAAATTTTCTGATAATAAAAATCATACTATTCGGTTTTGTGCGTTTCCAATCAAATAAACAACAATTGTATTAATTTGTTGTGCAAAATTGTGGTTTTGTATTTTAAAAGGCTTATACAAAAGTAGGCACAAAATAAATAATAAATGGTAGGAAACGGCTACAGATTTTCAAAAAAAACTATATAATACATGTTGTAGTTCCATTCCAGATCAACCTTCGGTCTAATTGTCAGACCAAAATTCTTTAAAATTTCTGAATTTAAATTAAAATAAAAGTTTCTCTAAATGTTTTCATGTGTTGGTAATACGAATGAATGTCCCACCAAAGTATTTTTAAAATAAAATATAATTCTCAAATTGGATCCCTTAATTTTGTTTTATCCCGTTTTGGGCACCACAACAAAGGGCTTTTTACAGAATAACGTTTAAGCTAGAAATCAAATACTGAAAAATTGTTGTTGTTGTGACAATTTCTTGTTAACCATACGTTTTTCCAACTAATAATAATTTATTGTAGTCGGTATAAACGGTAAAACATGAAACATAATTTACTATTTCTTTCATGATAGTATTTTTTTGGATATTATGTTTTGCTGTTGTTAACGGCGATTCGTGTTTTTTTGTACTCAGAAAGTGGAAAAACAAGTGAATGTGCCGAACAAGCTCAGCTGTTTCAATAGCGTACTTATCAAAGCATACTATACCTACACTTTTGTATGATTCTTTTGGGTTTGGAAAGTAATTTACACACGGGTTTATCGTTACCTTATTTTTCGACGGCTTAAACACACCAAAAATAAAAAGAGTAAAATGTTCAAAACTATATGCGGTTTACAATTTGTATCGAAATGTATTTTAATTAATTTCACTGAGGGGTCATCATTAATAGTAAACAAGTATATTGATAACAAATAAATAATGGAGTATAAAAAAGGGTCAAATGTTTACAAGAGTTATGCACTTATGTCTTACAATTCAACTTAATGCACAAAAGTTGAAGTATGGAAAAAATAGTTTCCAAAAAATGTCACTTACAACCTTTTGGTTTTTTTGCCTACCTTTCACGCCTACTTTAGACACTAGTTTTCAATTTTATATTCACCAGTAAGAAGTTTGAAAATATGTGAGTGTCCACTTATAAGGTTTATTCAAAATTTAACTGGTAGAATATTTGCAATGATGAAATATCTTTTTGGACAAAAACCTAATAATCCTCTTTATCATGTTGTAGCATTTAATGGATTAGGCCAATCTGTTTCATCTTTCTTCAACTTTTAAATAAACAAAACGTTGCCAAGGAAAAAAAAATTAAAACACATAGTTCAATAAATTCAAAATTATGGTTTATACAATACATTTTAGTTCGTTCAACTATGTATTTTGATTAGGTTAATGATTTTTTGCAGCTTGACTTTTTGTTAATTGTATTTTATTAGAAAATAAAAATACCTTTGTGTAACTAACCAAAAAGATGTTTATTAAAATTGTAATTTTAAAAATGCAGGTATCAAAAACCAGTATAGAGGCTTGTGGTGTAGGTAAGAAGTGTGTTAAAGGTTTCCTATTTTACTTATATGCATTTCGACATCAGATACATACTATTATAATTAATAACTCTTAAACTATTACTGGGAATTAAATAATATGTAGCTTGATGAAGGTAGGGAAAGCTGTCAACGATGGGAATCATTAACATTTTTCTTGGTCGTGCCAAGAACTAGAAAAGGAGCGCATACCAGATGTAACACAAGTATTAGAAAGATTGAAATCTTTATATTATTGCGCATTTCTTTAAAGCATTTTGATCAAAAACTTAGTTTCTGAGAATTGTACTTGAAAACTGTTAAATTAGCTATCAAAGTGAGTGTAATAATTATGGCAAATCATTTTACTAGTATTAGTTCAATTATTGAGTAATAATGTAAAGAGATGATCTAACATAGTGTAAACCAGCTTGTTTGATATATTACACTTCAGATTGGTTTACAAATGTGTTTACTAGATTTTAGGCGCAAAACCGTGTAGATTTATTTTGTTTATTTTATACAACATACAATGACGGTACTTGTCTACTTAAAAACTAAATAATAAATTCAAAACCAATCACTAGTGTGTCAACTCATACACATTCTGGAAAAACGTGTGACAGTAAGAACGTACTCAAAAATGAAGACACAACACAATTATTATGTGGCAATATTTTTCGTAGTGACTTTCGTAGTACAAGGTAACAGTATTTAACTTTGTAATTACTCGTTTGGGACAAAGCATTTATTTTTTAGTTAAATTAAAAGTAATGCTAACCGATTGGGAGAAAAACCTAATAAGTCTATTTAGCATTTTTAGTGTACCTCATCAACAGTGGCGTAGTTACGGGGGGGGGGATTAGGGTGTCGTATCCCCCCCCCATGACCTTTTTTTTTTACTGGCCATAGGCTCAACAAAATATTTATGTACTTATTTAACATTATTATAGTAAAACCCCGAATCTCCTATGTACCTATATAGTTTATAAATATAACTAAAATAATAGCAGTCGATTGAGTTTTTTTTATTGCGGAGCGACGATGCACATCAACAATGTCGTCGTATAATGTACGTCAATAATCCAACAATATTATACTTGTGTAAATGCTCTGAAAATAACTGATGGATTTATACACGTTATCGGAATTTTCTTAACAACTTTTTGTCTCATTCGATAAACGGTATGTGGGCATTAAGATTAAGCATGTGGTCAGTGGTAACAAATTACAATCAGCAGTGTGAGCAACTGGATAATAGTTGACAACAGTTTTCACTGTATTATGTATACTGTATAGTGTATTAAAACATAGTTGTGAATTGTGATACGTGAATCATAGTAAGTCAACTAGGTACACGAGTTTAGACTTAAGTTATTTTATTATTTAGTCGTGTCATAGAGAAGACAATTTTTTTTATAAGTCTAAAAATGGAAGGAAAAAGAAAAAAATGTAAAAATACTAGAAATACACTTTTTTATATTTTTCAAAAAAAAATCGTTCTATTGAAAATAAAGAAGATTGTAATGAGGTAAGTATCTTTATCGTTTTATATTTTGTTTCATCACTCCAATTTTTGGTAATTTGGTTTATTTTGTAAAACAAGCAATATAAAAGCAATACGAAATTGTTTAGGTATTGTTGAAAAATTATACAATTTTTTCAATACTCCCAAACGAAATCATGTGTTATTATCTACTATCGAAAACAGTAATGTTGATCAAAAAATAAAAACATTAAAAAGGCTATTTGCAACTCGATGGGTGCAAAGATACGATGCGATTCATGATTTCATTGAGCTTTTTAAGTTTGTAGTAGAAGCTTTAGAATGAATATCAGATTGGAAGGATTCGTCTGCTACGGATGCATCAATAATTCTAAAATCAATGGACTCTGAATTCCTAATTTCAGTTAATATTGTTCAGGTAAAAACAAAATTTTTAATTAAAAAGAAGGTATCTTAAGTCTATTGCAATTACCTGATGTATTTTTCAGCTAATGTTTTCATTTGGCTTACCGTTATGTAAATAATTACAAAAAACCAAAATTGACTTAAAAGAAGCCATTGATCTCGCACAAGATACTGTCAATGAGTTATGTACATTATTGTTAGTTACATACTGTTATGTTTATTACAAAAAAAGAGCTATGTACATTATATTATATTATATTACAAACAAAATAAATGTACTTAAAAATTAAGTAGTTTGTATTTTTGTGTGTACAAAAATGTCTATCCCCCCCTAAGACAAATTCCTAATTACGCCACTGCTCATCAAGGTCATCAAAGGAGCTTCGGTGTGAATGTTAAATACAATAATATATAGATATATATTTGACCTATTTTAATTTATACGTTTAGCTGTTAGGTTGTAAAATTGCACCTATAAAATTTGTAAAAAATGAGTGTGACTGACTAATATTATAAGTATCATATCATAATGATTTTGATTAGATCATCACTCTAAAAGGTATAGGCTGTAGTTAAGGTGGTTTTGACAATTTTAAAAAGAAAGGGTTGAATTTTACCACTTTTGATCATGATGACCATCTATTTTTTGTTTTCTACATAAAAAATACATGTGATGTAATGTTTATTTAACATTATTTTGTAAATCTTATTAAGTTTGTACCTAATATATTTGTATAACGTCAGAATTTCAGATGTACAGTCCAGATATTAAATATGAAGATTTCCTTAGGGCAGAACGTCAAAAATATCCTGAACTAGACCCGGAAAAACTTGATAGAATAAAAGATCTTGCGTCAGCCAACGAAAAATTACCACCAATAAATAGTGAGTAAGCATCTTAATGCATCTTAGGGGGCCAAGACGGTTATAGAGGAAAAAATAAAAACACATATTTTGGAGGCAACGACAAATCCCTTTATTAAATTATTATTTAGAAAAAAAGTTATCACTGTTTTAATAAAGTAAAAAATAAATTTTCCTTTAAATCAAGTGTCAAGCTGAACAATAAAAATATTTAAAAAAGGATATGTTTTCTCTGAAATGTTATCATATTTTAGTTTGATTATAAATCCCCTGCGCCGAGTAAAACGTTAAAAACTTTAAAAATAGTTGTTTATCATATTATATCAACCAATCGAAATGCGCGTTACCATTTGTGTTTCAAAAGTTGCTATCGAAGAAACTAAGTTGGGAGGATGGTAAAAATTAAAAAAAAATCTGAAAAACAGAGATAACATTGTGTAAAATCAATATAAAAAAAAAATCGAGTATCCACACTTAAAGTGGAAGGCACATGTCTTATGTCAACTATGATTATGTTAAATATAATATACTGTCTGAATGAGCAACAAAAACTAATTGGCCAGAACATTCAAAATTATTTAATAGTATTTAATCTAATATATTATATATATACTCGATAACGTTTTATGTTTCATGTTTTAGTAGTTTTATATAATATCTGGCCTTAATAGATTTACTGTCAACATTTATCAAATAGTTAACTTCTAGTTCAAGCGCTAGAGCACCTAATTAAGATTGCCTAATCTCTTATCTGTATTTTCTTATCTCTTATCTTTAATCACTTGTCTTTAGTATATTATCTCTAATCTCCTATCTCCTATCTCTTATCTCTCGTACCTTATCAGATAATTATTTGTCAGTTTATTCATTCAAAAAACAACCGCTAGATCACACGCACATATTTTATATGGTAACGTTCAGCGTGATGCACAGATTTTTATATTGACCCCCAGCCAATTTACATGAACATAAAATGATAAACTGATAAAATGTCGACCCTGTACTTAGTACAGTAAAATACTTTTCTTATAAATGAAACAAATACTCTTGTATTTAAACAATAGTCATAATAATTTAAACGCCATAATTTGATTCCAAATTGAACTGATAACAACCGTTTTCACAAAATCTTGATTTTGCACGTTTGGTAAGTTTTAGTAGACCAGGTCACATAAAAAAAAACTAATAAAAAGGGAGATTACTGAAATAATAAATACACATTACAGCTGTTACAGCTTTAAAATAGTCTTTCAAAAAATTACCCCTACTGAGCTGCTTAATAAATAGGGGTTAAAAATCATTAAGCATGTAGTAGTTTTAGGATTTACATTATTTTTTATATTAAGTGTTATAAGAGTATGATATATAAGAGTTCTAATAAAGCATTGTATTTAGGTAAAGAATATGTTTTATTTCTACATAGCGCACATTTCGACGAGCACAAAGCTTATGAAATGCTTGTCAACTACTACAAAGTCCGAAAACAACTACCACATATATTTACCCCGAGCGATCCAACGGAAGAAGAATTAAACAAAATGTTTGACGTCATGTAAGGAACGGATGTATAAAATCTACAATTATATAGATACATGTATCAGACAGAAACAATAAAAGTGTTGTTAATTAAACGTTTGTTTAGGAGTCATTCCATATTGTACACCGAGAACGAAGACAAAGGGATTCGTTACTTGTACACGCAATTCAAAATCACCAACGCCAAACATTTTAAGTTCGCAGACCAAGCCAAATATTATTTCTTAATGGTAAAATGTTTACTCGTGGAATACGGAACGTTTGACGGTGTAGTGGTCGTATGGAATTTAGTTGGCCTCAATTATTGGCACTTGAGAAAAATCAAAATATTCTACAGAAATCAAATTATTAGATTGTTGAACTTAATACAAGTACGTATATACTGCCTTATAACTTTTAACGGTAATCAATTTTATAATATAAGTCTCTATTTCCCTCTTCGTGGACGAACTGGTTACAGGTTAGGTTAGGTTAGGTTAGGTCCTACCCAAGTTAAATAGCACTGTAACAAGGCTGGATCTAGAAACGAAAAAAGGGAAAAGTTAGAAAAAATATTCTTTTTCTTTATTTTCGCCTTACACACCGAACTACATGGGGTCAGCAACTGTAGTCCTACACTTCTTATCTATCCACTTTTCTTCTCACTATCCTCTTATCACTCTCTATCCATCTTTTCTTCGGTCTTCTTCTTACTCTCTTTCCCTCTACATCAATCTTTATAACACCTCTCACTTCCTCTGTCTCATATCTTCTCCTAACGTGACCGAATCATCTCAACCTGTTCTCTATCATTTTTCTCACAATCGATGCAACTCCTAGACTCTCCCTTATGTATTCATTTCTTATTCTATCTTCCCTAGTCACTCCACTCATCTCCACCACACTCATTCTCTGTTCAGCTTTCTTGTCTACTGCCCAACATTCCAACCCATATAACATTGCCCCATAATTTTCTCCAAAGTCAAACAACATTGTCTCCGACTTACTCCTACTAATCCTACCAAGTCCTTTCCCTTCAAGCGCCTCGCTCGATTCATCATAAATATCAATAAAACCGCAATGTTTAAAAATGACTTGATTTTGTTATTTATTTAAAGGATAATGCACCGTTACGGATAAAAGAATGTCACATTCTAAACTCTGGGGCAGTGACACTTTACGCATATGCTAAAGTAAAGTATATTTTAAACAAAGAATTTCGGAAAAAGGTTAGTTCCAAATGTCTAGATAACGGTTTAAGTACGATAATTGTTGTATATTTAAACATATTCCAACAATGCAAACGGTACCATACAAAAACTTACATTATTTGCTATAACTAATACAAAATATTTCGACTACAACTACTAATATAAATTTGCTAATAGCTTAATTGAATTAAAACATGACCAAAAAAGTCTACAATCAACATTTTAAAGTTTAACATTTATTTGGAGAAATATAAAATAATTTTTTTTCTGGAATAAAACACATTTTTTTGTTGTAGTTATGATAAATAATTATTTAAATATTGGTTTGGTAACGTTTGTTATTTGCAAACAATTACATTTTATTTTTAGATTCATTTTCACAGACCAAAATCGGCGGAAATTTTCAAATTTGTGCATAAGGATATTATGCCAATGGATTTTGAGGGAGGTTGTGGATTGAGTCATTCAGAACAATCTGGTAATGATCAAGATGCTTGATCGGTATACTTAATTTAATGTTTTACAAACATTAAACGTTACACGTGGTATTTGTTTTTTTTTCTAGAGACAACTTTGGAACTAATGAAGTCTCTACGCGATCGGTACATGCCGGGTGATATTCTTAGCTCTGATGATAAAGACCAAGATGAAAACCAAGATGAAGACGATGATGAAGAAGTTCTGTTAATCGTATAATAATTATATTTTTTTTTTTAGGAAACCTAAGATATTTATTAAAGACTAATATGTAATATAGGTTTAAAATAATAACCAAAATCAAACTTATGTAACATGTGATTTTGTTTGATTAATTATTAAAAAAGATATTTAGCAAAAAAGAAAAGCTTTTACCAATCTCTTAATTATTATAACTGAGTGATTAAACCAGTGTGACCGAAATAAGATGAGGTTTAAGAAGGTTGTCTGTCTAGCCCAGGAAATTCATTCAAGCCATCCCAAAATTGGAACAACCAGGTTTTTCATTATTAGAGCAGCTTATTTTTATTGGTATTTTAGGAGAGTTAAACTATGATTTTAAAGCAATATTCATTTTTACTAATAACAAGTTTAAATAGTATATAATAATCTGTGCTGTGCTTAAGTATGGTATAAAACACTATGATTCGTGTGATCGAGCTTGAATTTAGGAATTTTTTAAAATTATTTTAGGCATAGACATTGTAGTTTGCTGTTACTTATGTGTCTGTAGATAATAGACAAAAGAATAATAAAATATTTGGTAAATATGTAATGTCAAAAAATACTGTTACATGCACAAAATTTGGGAAAAACTACAAAAACCGTAATACCATATTTACTGATTTTGCAATTATTTGTCAATATTGTTACATATTTTAATTGTATTTAAAACAAATGGTAGTAACCAAATACCTGCGTACAACGCAATTGCAAGTGTGTATAGATTTATTGTAATGTTCATTACAATTATTTGTATTTATAGTTTTATTATGTTTAGAGGTGAAAATGTTACATTGTTTTTTATATATTGAATTCAGTCATTTACAGAATTCGAAGTTGACCCAAGTCTCAACTAAAAACAATTAACACAGTACTGCATTAAACCACTTGCGTATGGACTAACCGGAATAATTTATAGATCACTTTTTCTTCTTCTTCATCTTTTTCTTCTTTATCTTCGCCTTACACACCTAACTACATGAGATTGGTCACTTTAGTCCTACACTTCCATGATCTTCTACATCTCATTCAATCACCCCAGATATCCTCTTATCACTCTCTATCCATCTTTTCTTCGATCTTCTTCTTACTCTCTTTCCCTCTACATCAATCTTTATAACACCTCTCACTTCCTCTGTCTCATATCTTCTCCTAACGTGACCGAATCACCTCAACCTGTTCTCTATCATTTTTCTCACAATCGATGCAACTCATAGACTCCCCTTAATGTATTCATTTCTTATTCTATCTTCCCTAGTCACTCCACTCATCCATCTTATCGTTCTCATCTCCGCCACACTCATTCTCTGTTCAGCTTTCTTATCTACTGCTCACCATTCCCCAAGCCATATATAACAATGCTGGCCTCACTACCTACCTATAAAGTTTACCTTTCAATCTTATAGGCATCCTGCTGTCATACAAAACACTCCATGCTCCCCTTTACTTCATCCTTCCACAATTTATTCTATTTTTCACATTCCCCTGGACCCATTGTTTTTTAAAACATCATAAACCATGGAATAATTTCGAGATATAATTTGTTTTTTTTAATGTTTCTATGGGACTTTATTTCAAAAAAAAAAATGGACTTATTTCTTCTAGATTATTGTAGAAGTAGATATTTGAACAACGGTTTTTGAATAACCTAGAAAAGAGGCCAAAAGTAGGGTGCAATACAATATTCAATTTTGTTTTTGAAATATTTCAGTGGCTTACAGCATACGAAAAATACGCCCAAGCCTCAACTAAACAACTAATATAGTTATGTACATATATGATAAGCTATTATGAAAAAAACAAAATATGTTTTATGATTCACTAAGGCTTAAAACTAACTCAGTAACGTACATTCAACCACTTGCGAAAGGTCTATCCTAAATAATTTAGTGATACATTTTTGTTTTGTTCAACTTAATCATGAACAAGCGACAAAGTTATTTGGCTATTTGGTTCTTCGTTGTTTTTGTAATCCAAGGTAATATAAATTCAATTTTTAATTATTCTGCTGATAAATATGTCGTACATTGACAGCTAAAGACATAGCTAACAATAAAAAAAATAACAACGAAATCCGTCGTTGCATAACAACAAGATAACTAAAAGGAAACTATGGTACATTTAAAAAACGTAGCTATTTTACGAGTTCGTCCACAAAAAACTATGTACATTTGTTTTTTTAACGAATGCTTTATAATTTTGCCTTAATTATTACCACTTAATGGTTTGATTTAATTTACAAAATATCAAATTTTTATTTTTATTTAGCTATAGGAATTTTGCAAAAGTTGTAAAATTGGCCCTCTGTTGAAGTTTATAATTATTTAAAAAAAAAACACTTGTTCTGTGTATGAAATGAACATGTATATTCAATATCATGCACAATAATATATTCGCATGTTAAAAAAAACAAAAATAAAAATGCCATATAGAAACCCATATTTACTTTTACAATATTATAACACTTAAAAGAATCATAATGTTTTACTCACAGTTGTACTTTGGTTTATAAAATAATACTTATTAGGCCCTTATTCAAGTAAAATAAAATAATGTTTTCTCATAATAGTATGTTCAGGTATATGCATACATGACCAATTTTTTTATTATTATACCACAACATTTTATGTTTCTGTCGTGCATATACATTATAATATACCATAGTAGAAAACAGACAAAAGAATAAGAATATATTTGGTAAATATGCTAAAATTTACACGCATAAAACTTGGGAACAGCTGCAAAAACCGTAATACTATACTGCTGCTTTTGAAATTATTTGTTAATATTGCTAAATATTTTTATTATATTTAAAACAATTGGTAATATGGTCATTAAAACCAAATACCTGCGTACAGAATATAGGATTCCGAAAGTGAGAAAATTAAATTTTTTATTTAATTTTATAATTTTATCTTTACTAGTTTCAAATTATACATTCAGCGCGTCAATGTTTTTAATTACATTTTTGAGTACTTAAGAGATACGAAGAGTATATGTAAATGTAAAACGTAGTAATTGTAATACAATAATAATTGAAAATCAAACAACAAAAATACCAAATAATACTAAGTCAACCAAAACGCAAAAATCACAGGTTAGCTGCGACGCTAAACAAAGACACATCACAATGTCATATGTCAATTAACTGCGTTCAGCAACAACGTTGTGTCGGACGTCGTGATGGTGGAGTTTCCCCAACCCGATCCGATCCGTTCCCCACTGTCTGACGCCGCAAGGTCATCTTATAAATAAAATATTTGATAAAACAAGTATCTCGATACCTTTAGAAATGATGTACTATTTTGCTTGTAATTAAGAAAGTATTCAACCAGTCTTCTATGACTATCTGCCCGATCCTTTCTATACAACTTTTTTATTCTACTGATATCTCATATGATCAATTCTGTTCAGCCGTTCAATCACCAAAAGGTGGAAACATATATAGTAAAATGTACAACAGTTTAATAGGATTGCGATGCTTCGTGTATAGTATACACTGCGGTGCACGCTATGCTATTTTTTTTACTTAGCTCCGCGCCACTACCTTGTCGATGGCCTTATGAAAAATAATTTTGTAATGTTCTATTCGGTAACCAATTAGTATTATAATTTCAATATTTTGCAGGGATTCGTATGTATGATCCATCTGTTAGCTATGGAAAATTTCTCGAGAAGGAAAATAGTAAATACGCAGAAATAACTAAACAAAAGATTAATGAACTCATAAATCTTGGAGAGCTAACTGAAGACTTTCCGATGATAAACTGTACGTCCGTTGCTATTAAGTTCTTAAACATTTTTTTGTGTGTGTTGATGTTTCGGTTTATAATAAAATTGTTTGTATTATGTGGTTGGCTTTTATAATTATTAACTGCCGAAAAACACTAATAATGTTATTTTTATCAGTTCAAATATGCATATTATTGTCTCCATTTCAATAGGTAAAGAATATATCTTGTTTTTTCATGCTGCACACTTCAATGTGGTAAATGCTCGTGCCATGATATTCAAACATTATGCACTTCGAAAACAAATGACAGAAATATTTAACCGTGACGATACAGATCCAGAACTAAGCGAGTTGGACCAAGCTAAACGCGTCATGTAAGCAACAATAATTTAAAAAATGTATAAATGCGGTATTAATACTGGCAAAAACGTTTTACTAGTCAAATTTAAACTACAATCTTAGAATTTTTTTCTAAAGTCTCAAGATGTATATTTAACTTTGACTCTGAACACATGTTTTAAATAACATTTTAAATATTCCAACAATTAGGCTGATATGAGTTTTAGGTATAGTTGCAATAACTTCATTCTCTGTTCATGTAAATACTATAACATGTTATTTTGTTCTTCAGGAGCCATTCGATATTGTTTAGCGATTCGTATCAGACAATACGTGGCCTTGTTGGATATCGTTACATATACACTCGTTTCGTAGATACAAATCCTGCAAATTTTGTATTCATCCAGCAAGTCAGATACTTTTTCTATATGATAAAATGTATGCTCATAGAATACGGAACGTTTGACGGTCTTGTTGTGATCGTGGACGGAGCAGGTTTCACAATGACTCACGCTAACAAAATCAACTCTCATCTACTCTCCCCTTTATTGAAACTCATAGAAGTACGTGCAATATCGATATTATACTCTAAGGAAGTACTCAAAAACAGCTAAGTAATTGTTATGATCAAAATGCGCCATGCAACGTTCTAGCAACCATGCCAGTGTACCATGACATAAACCAATTCGCCTGGTTATTCTCACCCTGATATCTCTGCTTACTTTTATGACGGGCTTCTGAATTTGGAACTTGGCCCTTTTTCAAGGTTGGGTTTTCGTTGGAGTGCATGAAATGATACATAAAACAATTATAATGGCCTGTTATAAAAAATCACTTTATTTATACATTCTTGTTTGATTTCAAAGGAGGCACCACTGATGCGATTAAAAAATATTTTCATTTTAAATACAAATTCTGCGATGAC